CCGGGCTTCTGGCACTGGCCGGAGGCTCGGGAGCGCGAGCCTCCTTACTCCAGTCCACTCCTCGGGCCGGAGTTCTCTCTTTATCGCCTCGCCGCCTTCTTGGAGCTTTACTGGTCGCTCTGCGTTCGTCCTCGCCCCCCTCCTCCCCCCCCTCCTCCACCCTTCTCCCTTCGAGTAGGCTCCTGCCTGTCGCGCCCCGAGACGGGTCAGGTGTGGCCTTGCCACTCATGGCCTTGGAGTCGTTCAAAGTTTGCACGAGCTGCGCGAATGCAGGGCGGGTCGTCATCAAAATGTGGCTCTCGCCCCAGCGCCGCGCGCATGCGTCTGGAAAGTTTTCAAGAGCTTCACGGATGGAGGGCGGGTCCTTTTCAACATGTTTTTTTTTGCTTCAGCGCCGCGCGCATTCTCTTAACACAAGTGAGAGGTCCACGGATGGATGGCGGGTCCTTTCCAACATGTTGTCTTCGCCTTAGCGTCGCGCATATTTGTTCTGAACATTTGCAAGAGCTTCGTGCGTGTAGGGCGGCTATGTTTCAAAATGTTGCTCTCGACCCGGCGCCACGCATATTCGTTTAACGACTTTGCAAACCGGTTCGAGGAAGTTCATGGTTTGTGTACCTGAAGTTGTGTTTTGGCACGATGTCGGGCGGCCAGGGCGCAGCAGTTACAAAGATTTGTTTTATTGAAGTCACGGGTATTGTGGTCTGGCACGGCTCAGGATTGCCAAGATTCATCAGTAACGGATTGGTTTTTGGAACAGTTCAGGATTATCACACGCTTGCTTTCCGACGGGGCACTTCATTCATTGAACACGAGTCATCGCAAGAACGTGCGAGGAGGGGACTTGGAGGGATGATTGATTGCGGTCTCACTGGCGGCTTTTTGGGTTACATTGGTCTTCTCTCTCCCCGTTTCATGTCTCCTGCTCGTCCACCTCCTCCTCCTCTTCCATTCCTTGTCCTCATAACGACCTCCTCCCTGTCATCCCCCGAGACGTGTTGGTAGGGCGGGCCTGGCGTTCCGCCGGAGTCTTCCCAATTCGTTATGATCTCGCAGTCTTCAACAGCTTCACGGATGGAAGGAGTGTCCTTTTTCAAAATGAGGTTTTCGCTTTAGCGCCGCGCACGCATTCATGTCACAACGGATGAAGGGCGAGTTTTTTTTGTTTTCAAAATGTGGTTATCGTAGCAGAGCCGCGTATGTGTATATACAGATATACATATATACATATACATATATATAGTATTTGCATGGGTTTCACGGATGGATGGCGGGTCTTTTCCAACATGTGGTTTTGGCTTTAGCGCCGCGCGCACTCGTTTTACCATGTTGCAGAAGTCTCGAGGGTGCCAGGCAGGCCTTTTTCAAAATGTGGCCCTCGCTTCAGCGCCGCGCACATGCGTCCCAAGAGCTCCCATTCGTGTTAAGGATTCCGATGGTTGACGTCCCACGAATGACGTTTTGGCACGATGACGGACGGTCAGAGCGCAACAAACACGCGTTGAGTCGCGGTAGTCCTGGGAGTTGTTTCTCTCACAGTCAAGATGTGTCAAACGGTTGTCTGTCAAGGTGAATTTTCTTCTGCAAAAGTCGTTGTGGGGACCTGTACACATGGAGCGCGGATGGAGGGTGTATTGCAAGATCGATGCCGAGTCTTGGGTTTACACAAGTCTTCCTCCTTCTTTTTGCCGTTGGGCGAATTGGAGCCGCGAATCTGGAGCGTTCAACCTCCTCATCCTTCTCTTCCTCCTCCTCCTCTCTTCCTCCTTTTCCTCCTCACCGCTTTTTCCGTAGAAGTAGTTCTTCCCCGTCGCACCCCGCGGCCAGTCGAACGTGCGGGCTGGGCGTTTCGCGTGAGACTTCTTCCTTATCGATGATCCTCAAGCCGAGGATGTGCTACGGCTCCAAGGATGGCGGGCGGGTCGTGTCCAGAGCGTGGGTCTCGCTTTTTGTGCCGCGCACATCCCTGTGGATCGGAAGCAAGCGCTTCGAGGATGGATGGCGGGTCGTTTACAACATGTCGCTCTCGCTTCGGCGTCCCGCGCATGTGCTTTTTTTGGTTCCGATCCTCCTCCTCCTCCTCCTCCTCCTCCTCCTCCTCCAGGCGCCGAGGGCGCCGCGAGCGGCTCCGCGTGCGGCCTGCGCCCAGCGCTGCGCCGCCCGAGCCGCCAGAGGAGGACGCGCGCACGGCACCGAGTTCGACTGCAGTGGCCGGCGCGCACTGCACGGCGGAGGGAGCGCATGCGGCAGACGGCGGCGCGGCGGGCGCAGCAGCAGGCCGCAGAGGTCATGCGCCTGCTGGACCCAGCCGCGCCTCCGCCGGCGGGGCCCACCGGCCTGGCCGCCGCCTTCGGAGAGGGACTAGCGGCAGGCTGGAAGCTGGCAGTAAGAGCGAAGGAAGAGCAGTGGCAGCTGGGCTATTGCGGAGTCGCGCTGACGGGCGTACCGTGGTGGGGCGAGCAGTGGATGCAGGCATGCCTGGAAGAGCGCGAGGAGTGGGAGGCGCAGGACGAGCCCGACGCCATCTACCACAGCGCTGCGATCAGGGCGTGCGGGGCGCAGGCGGAGGCGAAGCTGGAGCCCATTACACCTAGCGCTAGCCACGCCTCGCCGCGCCTCGTCGCCCCGGCTGGATCCTGCGAGAAGGACGGGCAGGGGCAGCCACAAGAGGACGAGCAGCGGCAGCAGCAGGCGAAGGACGAGCCCAACGTCGTCAGCTACAACGCGGGGGCGACGGGCGGCCGCCACGAGCGGAAGCGAGAGGAAGGCGAAGGACGAGCCCAACGTCATCCGCTACGGTGCTCAGAACAGCGCGAGAAGTGGGAGGCGAGCGTCGAGCCCGACGCCGTCTGCTACAGCGCTGGGATCAGGGCGCGCGGGAAGAAGGCGGATGCGAAGCTGGAGCCCAGTATCCCTTGCACTTCCTCCCCATCGTCGAACCGCGTTGCCACGGCTGGATCCGAGTTTACCCGTGATTGTGTTGGCGTCAGCTTAGCGATGTGGGCCGCCAGGAAGACCATCGCCGACAAGTGGCTTGGTCCAGGATGCGAGAGGCGGAATGCGAAGATAGAGCCCGATGTCGCCAACTACCGCGCGGATATCATAGCGGAGATAGCGAGCATAGGCGGCGTGCCAGAGCGCGAGGAGTGCGAGGTGAAGCTGGAGCCTGACATCCCTACCCTCAGGAGGCACAAAGCTGGGAGCAGCGCGTGCGAGGAGAGAAAGAGAGAGAAAGAGAGAGAGAGAGAGAGAGAGAGAGCAAGGCGCAGCGTGCGAAAAGAAAGAGGCGAAGTTGGAGCCAACGATCTGCCCTAGCAGCTCTAGGTGCGGACCGAGCGGGGAGCCTGAGTCTGAGGCGAGACACGAGCGGTGGTTGGAGAGAAAATTCGGGCGCAGAGAGAGAAAGAAAGAGAGAGAGAGAGAGAGAGAGAGAGAGCTCAAGCGCACACGGTACCGACGCTTGACGATTGGCTGTTCGGACCGAGTGGATGAGAGAGCGAGAGAATTGCGAACGCTCCCTGCGCCCCCGCCGGACGCGCAGGGAGAGCGGGCGGCCCCCAGGGGCGCGGCCCTCCGAGCGGTGGCCGCGCGACGCGCGGAGCGTCGGGCGCGGCCGCCGCGCGACAGCCAGCGGGGCGGAGGGGGAAAGCTTCGGAAAGCGCCTCCGAATGGCAGAGGTGCACGGATGGAGGGCGCGTTGTTTCAGCGTGCGGTTTCCGCGCAGACTGGTTTGGAAGGTCTGCAAGGGTTCCACGGGTGGAGCGCGGGAGGTTTTCAGCATGTGGACTTGCCGCTGCGCCGCGCGATGTTTTTTTTTTTTTTTGTTTGGGGGGGAGTTGTGAGAGCTTCGCGGGCGGCGGGCGGTTGGTTTCGAAGTGTGGTTCTTGCCACAGCGCCGCGCACATGCGTCTTGAAACATGGCAAGAGCTTCGTGGGTCCCCCTCATCAGGGACCCAAAAAAGAGCGTATTGGCACGATGCGGATTGCCCGGGCGCAACAGTTACGTGTCTTCGCGGTGCTGAAGTTCCAGGAATGGTGTCCGGGCACGGTTCAGGGTCGTCAGGACGCAACAGTAACGCTGATTCGCGGCGTTGAAGTCCCATGACTGGTGTCCTGGCGCAGTTCAGGATTTTCAAACGGTTGTCTTCCAACGGGGCGCTTCCTTCAGTGAGAATAAATGTTGGTAGGGGCCTACGAAAAGTGAGCTTGGAGGGAGGGTTTATTTCAACATCATTGATGGCTTTTAGGTTTGCACTGATCCTTCTCCTCCTCCTCCCTCCCCCAAGCGCCGCCTCGTAGTACCGAAAGGTCCTCTTCGAGGGGCCTCCCCTTGGGTTTGCGGCTGACCACACAACTTCTCTCTTCCCTCTCCCCTCAGTGGCGTGCTATCCTCCCTCCCCCATCGTCCTCCCCACAGCCTTTGCCCCCGACCCCCCCGTGCGCGCAGGCTCTGGCTACTGGCCGCCCTGGTCGCCCCCTGACGGGCCCACCGCGGAGGCCCGACCCGCCGGCCCGCGCCGGCGGCTGGGCGGCGGCCGCTGCATCGGGGGGGCGGCGCGGCATCGGCCGCGGCAGCGGCTGGGCGGCGCCCAGCGACGGCCTTCGACGGTGGCGGCGGCGACGGCGATGAGGACGGCCGCGACGCTGACGGCGAGGGCGGGCCCAGATACAGTGGGGGCCCATGCCAAGAAACAACCTGATTGCCTCCTGGGTGCCCTGGGTTTCTTGGGTTTCGATGGTTTTGCTGTGGGAAACGCGACGTTCCCACGCCAAAAACCACTGGACGCCTTGGGGTCTCAGGGTTGGGTTTCTTGTGGAAGGTTTCTTGTGGTCGGGTCTCCATCGGCGGCACCCCAACGTACTAATACTATGTTTGCGTGCCCCCCCCCAGGGGGCGACGCGCGCATCGAGAAATCTTCTAGTATATGTATCGTGGCGGGCGATTTCTGGCCGTACCGCTCGGGAGACGGTATATATATATATATATATATATATATATGTATATATATGTATATGTATATATATACTACAATATGGGCATACTATATGCTCGGGTCGGGGGCGCCTCTCCAAGGAGGACATCTAGTCTTCAGTCGGGCCTGTCCCCTACAGGGGGATATTCAACCATAGTTTAAACAAATTAGTCTGGGGACCATTTGGGGAGCATGTTCTGTCCATTTGGGAGTATTTGTTTGGGCGTATTTTGCATCGTTCGTCCAAAAATCCCCTGTAGGGGGGCAAACCCAACTTTAATCTAGTGCTAGTATGTCTCTGTGCGCCCCACTCCACCTGCATCCGACGACGCGACGTCTGTGCTTCGTTCCGGGCGGTGTTCCTCGACCTGGGCCCTCCCGGGGGGCCCGCTTCCGGGGCCCCGTGGGGCCCGCGGGCACGGGGGGCGCAACGCCACCCCTGGGGGGAGCGCTGGCGCCGCGCACGGAGAAAGCATAGGCAGGGTGGGTCGCTGGAGAGGAGGTTGGGCCCCTGTCTGCTCGCGAGCCGAAGGGAGGGGGCCCAGCGCAAAAACAGGGAAGACTTGTTCGTCGACTACAACAGGAGGACGGACTAAGGGCTACGGCGCGCGGTCCGCGCGCCGTGGAGCCGTCATGGAAAGGTTCGAAAGGTAGGGTGGGTGGGCAGCCGGGTTTTTTGTCACCCCGTTCCACGTCCGCGCCCTTGACCTACCTCTTGTTGCCTTGCTCGCGCGCTGCACGGCACGCGCGTGGGGCACCGCAGCCTTTTGGCCCAGCACAGGGCGTAGAGTCCGAAACGCGTCGCCAGCTAAAAGTGGTTGAGATCGGTAATACACGCCGAGCCTTGCGACGGGGGTCAATGCAAAAGGGGGTCAGCCAGAGCACCCAATCTTGCGCAGGATCCTGCAGGGCCAGGGTCGCACTGACCCCGGTTTGGGTGCAAGGTCCTGCAGGACTTTTGCAGGATCCTTCGCGTTGGCCTGGGCTTGGGTGCAGGATCTTGCAGGATTCTGCAAGGCCTGACTGGCCCGGGTCTGGATTGACCCGGGTCAGCAGGTCCCCGAAGGCATGTGTCGTTCAGGGGCAACGATGGGGGCGGAGGGGACAGGCACAAGGGGGGGCGCATCGACCCCCAGTCGCCCGTTGATCGCCGATAGGGGCCCGATAGCCCCGACCTGCCCAGGAAGGTGCTGATTCACTATCGGAGGCCTATCGCCGATCAATCGGCGTTGTATCTCCGATTCCAGGTCGATGCATCCCCCCCTATGCCAGTCCCCCCCCCATATCGTTGCCCCTCAATCTTCGGATGTCTGGGACGCCGGCGACGACGAGGGAGGAGAGGATGACAGCGACGGTTAAGCCGGGCGTGCCCCTCTACAGGAGGAGTTTCCAAAAATTGACCAACAATGGTCCAGGGGCGATCTTTTGACATCTCTTTACTTTTGTGTGTGATATTTGTTGGCTATGTTGCATTATTCCTACGAAATCCGCCTGTGGGGGGCACGCTCGACCTAAAGCGACGGGGGCGGCAACGATGAACAGGAGGGGCGAGTGGGGCAGGCAGGGCGTCTGGAACGAAGAGGGATTTGGAGGAGAGACATGGGTAATGATCAGGAAGACGGGGCACTAGACGCTGGGAGGAGGAGCGCCGACCCAGCCCTCCCCACTGGGGCTGGAGAAGAAGAGGGACCTCCGGATCACACCGGATCGATGATGCATCGGCGAGACGGCGCGACCTGAAACCCGATGTTTTTTCATCCGATGTTTTGCGATGTCGCACGACCGTGGGCCAACTTATTTTTTCCCTGTATGCATGCGGCCACCAAGAGAGCAGGAGGGCGAGGAGGAGCAGATGAAACAGGAGAAAGAGGAGGGAGGTACCAGGTACCTGGATTGAGGGAGGATGGATCATTTGCAGGTGGCGGGGAAGACTGGGGATTGGGACGACGACGACGACGACGAGCAGGAAGAACAGGCAGGGTCATCAGGAACACGGAAGGCAGGAGGAGGAGGAGGAGGAGAAGAAGGAAAAGGGAAAGGGGGAGCCGAAGACAACAGGATTAGGGGACGATTGGCAGGAGGAGCAGGGGAGTAATAAGAACGGGGTGGAAGGGGAGGAGGAGGACAGGACGGTGGAGGAGGACGGAAGGGAATCGTGCGCCTACGGGAGAAGCACAGAGTTCAGTTGAGAGCAGCGGCGCCGATGCGCGGATCTGCGCAGCGGGCCTCGGTGTTCAAGGATTCGTCTGCGAGGTGATGCGAGCTCCTGGCGAGCGAATGCATTCTCGGTGCGGCGACGGGGCAGGAAGCTCTCGGTACGGCTCCGATCATAATTTTCTGGATGTCAGTTTTGCTTGCGCGCAAGTCCTGCCTGGGCCTGGTGTGGAGCCTTGCTCGCAGTGGACCACGGCAATCTGACATTATCCTACCAGTGTCATTCCTCCTTCCGTCCTCCTCCATTTATACTCTGTCCTCCTCCTCCTCCTCCGTATCCTCCTCCTTCCCCACCTCATCTGCTTCCCTCGTGTCCCTGCCACCCCCCTTTCTTTCCTTCCCTCCCTCCTCTTCCACCGCTCCTCCCCCGCCCAACCATTCCTCTCGGGCAGGGAGTCCCGAGGTGTTGACGGCAAACCTGGGAGTGGCAGTGCCGCCACGGGCCAGAAAGAGTGGCGGAACCCAACATCATCAGCTATTGGGCTATGACTGGGTCCCACCACGGTGTGCACACAGGCGGTGGCAGCATCCCCCCTCTCCCCGCTCCCGTCCGTTCTTCCTTTGCCATTCTCGTCCCAGCATCCTGGGCGCTCCGCACCACCCCTCCAAGGCGAGCTCCTCCCCGCAGGAGTCCGCATGCGGCTCACGCTGCACAGCAGCCCCGAGTGGCTCCAGGCCCCAGGATGTCCGCGTGAAAGCGCATGTGGGCATCGTCGGCAGCAAGAAGGATGCCTGTTTGCACGAGCAGGCTAGAGGCTACCAGTGGAAGCAGGGCCTGCTGGTGCGACAGGGCGGGCAGCAACAGCAAGCGGGGGACGAGGCAGAGCCCATCGCCCTCAGTTTGGGCCACGGCGTGCGGGCAAGGCAGGCTGTGGCCGAAGGCAACAGCCGACGCGCTCCATGCAGCAGGCCGCGGCGGACAGGGCAGTGGATGCCAGCGCAGAGGCGAAGCCGAGCCCAGCGACATCGGCGACACCGCTCGGGCCACGGAGGGCGAGCCACGCAGACGGCGGCAACGGGCAGAAGGCAGCGGTGGCCAGCAGCGGGTCGAAGGAGAGCCCAGCGTCATCAGCTGCCGCACTCGAGCCACAGCGTGCGAGAAGGGCGGGCGGGGCGACGTCATCCGCTCCGGCGGCTGGGAGAAGGGGCCACCAGCGGAGACACAGTCGAGGCATGGTCACCCCATGATCCTTGTCGCAAGGCGGGGGCCAGGGCGGCAGGCGGCGAAGCAGAGCCAGGCCCACCCCACGACCGCCGCCAGATCGGGACCAGGGCGGAGGGATGCGAGGACGGCGTGCCTCGGCGGCAGGTGCATGCTAGCGGAGGTGAAGCTGGCGCCAGACGTGAGCAGAGGCCGACGTGTTCAGCGAGGCCAACGCGTTCAGCGAGGCAAGCGCGCCAAGGCGTGCGAGAATAGCAGGCAGTGGCAGCGGAATTGAAGGAAGGACACGAGCCCAATGCCACCAGCTTTATCTCTAGGCCCATCGTCGGAGCCATCGTAGAGCAGTGGCAGCAGACGCGGTCGGCAACATCGTTGGGATCAGCTTGCACGCAGGATGCCCAAGAGCGAGCGCGCAACAGTACGAGATCACGGGCACGCGCGGCAGGAGCCTGCATCGCTAGCTGTAGCGTTGGGATCAGCGCGCCTTTGCAGAGTCAGTGGCGGACCCTCTGGCAGGCAGATGTTCGAGGGCCTCCATGTGGCCCGCCATCTTCGTCTCGCCGCTAGGGGTAAGCCCTGAGAGGGCTGGCAGTTGCTCTTTTCCAGCAGGCTGCGCCTGAGGCACTCATTCGTAGCGGTCCACCGCTAGGTCCCCCTAGATCCCCCCCTCTTCCTCCTCCCTCTTCTTCCTGCCTCCTCCTCCATCCCTATTCCCCTCTCCTCCTCCCTCCTCCCTCCTCCCTCCTCCCTCCTCCCTCTTCCCTCCTCCTCCTCTTCCTCCCTCCTCCTCCGCCTCCTCCGCCTCTCTCCTCCGTCCCCCTTCCCGCGTTCTCCTCCTCCTCCTCCTCCTCCTCATCATCATCATCAGCAGCATCATCATTCTGATCATCATCATCATCATCACCATCACCATCACCATCACCATCACCATCACCATCACCATCACCATCAGCAGCAGCATCATCATCAGCATCATCATCATCATCCCTCCGTCCCTCCCCCCTCCATGCCCCCCGCCACCCGCCGAAGGCCGCATGGCCGCCGCCGGCGGAGCCCCGGCAGGGGCTTCTCCGGAAGGCGCTGGAAGGAGCCCCCCTGCGGCACGCCCCGGCCCGGCCGTGGGCTCCGCCCGCGGCGGGCTCGTGGCGCGCGACCGCTGCGATCTCGGGGTCGCCAAGCGGTGCGGTGCTCGTACCGTGTGGTGAGTCCGTGGGGATTCGGGGTGGCCGTGAGGTCTCGAGGCTCGCGTCGTCCTCCGAGGGCGCCACGGGCACTCAGCATCGAGGACCGAGGCTCAGGGGATTGAGCCAGGGGCTTGCACTCCAACTCGTGCCTCGCAGGCACAGTGGCGGATAGAAGGAAGAGGCTGGAGGTAGGACTCCTCCTCCTCCTCCTCCTCCTCCTCCTCCTCCTCCTCCTCCTCCTCCTCCTCCTCCTCCTCCTCCTCTCCTCCTCCCCCTCCCCCCTCCCCCTCATCCTCCCCCTCCTCCTCCCCCTCCTCCTCCGCCTCCCCCGCCTCCTCCGCCTCCTCCTCCTCCTCCTCCTTCTCCTCCTCCAGGAGGACGGCGACGAGGAGGAGGAGGCAGCGGGCCCGCCGCAGGAGCCTCCATGCCACACCTTCTGGCCGCGGCGCCGGGCGGCCCGCCGCAGGGCGCGGGGGTGGGCGGCGCGCGCAGCGGAGGGCAGTCGTAGGGGTTTGCCTCTCACCCGATGGATGACGGCATGCCAGCGTTCGAAGGAGAAAAAACGCCATAAACATACCGTTTCGGCGCCCCGCGCGGATTTATTGGATCTGCGCTGGACCCCCCCCCCCCTAGCGCGCGGAGCGCGCCAGGGGCGGCGCCCAGGGGCGCCGCCAGAGCGCCGCAATGTTACGTTTATGGCGTTTTTCATCTTCAGAGCGTGCCTCTCCATTGGGATCGCGTTGCCTTCGTCTTTGGTAGCCGGCACTGCCCGCACACACCTTCCAGAACTTTCAGTGCACCGGCGTTCGACGTTTCAGCAGGGGGCCACATGCGAACCCTACCCCTGCCCCCCACGATTTCTGAGAGGGAGGGTGGGGTTCACCTCGTTCGGGAGCCCCCGAGCGAAGTGAATCCCACCCTTCCCCTCAGATATCGTGGGGGGTAGGGGTGGGGTTCGCATGTGGCCCCCTATTCAGGCCGCCCGCGCACTCCCAAATGGTGTGGGCTCTCTGCGCCTAAAGGCCCCCCCCCCGCGTCTTCGCCTCCGCGGCCGCCCTGTCTCACTTTTTCTCCTGTCTGGTGTGCCGCAGCAAAGCGCGCGGCCCCTTGCTGCGCTGCCGACCAACAGCGTTTTGCCTCAATTAGGTGACAAACCATGGGTCTCCCCCCCCCCCCTTGGCTGAAGCCTAGGACTCGAGTTCGCTGGAGCTCGGGTTTGCCCACGCCCATCCTGGGGCTTTGAGGGTCCAGTGTTCGTGGGGTGCTTGCGGCGGGAGCCCGCGCCACATGTCAGACTGGGTCTCCTCATTCTCCTAGCGATTCCGTCAGGCACGGGCCACGGGCAGAGGGGGTAGGGGGAGGGGAGACGGCTTCTCAGAAGCACCCCTGCTTCTTAGAAGGCACGGGCCTCATCTACACATACAAGGCCGGCACCTTCTACGAAGCAGCCTCCTTCTTGAGAAGCCTTTCCCCCTCTGCAACCTTGTGCGCGCCGCCAACGTCGGCCAAGCCGAGTCCCCCGACCCCGAGTCCTACGTCTCCCCGACATTTGGCGGGGGCCAACCTCGCCGCCTCGGCGCAGCGCACCGTATGCTGGAGCGCTCGTTCGGCGCGCAGCGGTGGTCTGCGGCTGGGGGTCGGTTTGGGGCTCTCGGCGGGGGCGACTCCGCCCCCGCCCTTGCAGCGCTTGCTATGGAATTGATGTTGCTTCCCAGTATGGTTTGACCGACCCTCATCCCCGTCCCCATTTCATCCAGACCCCCTGCATCTCAGCACCCCAGCTTGGGATATACCTATTGAAGCCCGAAGGGAACAGCCTATATCTTCATCCAAGAGGGTAAAACGGCCAGTGAGTCCCAGGCCACGCCCAAGGGGATACGGGTCGGTCAAACGGTGCTCAGCTTCGCGTGCCCCACAAACAGCTTTTCCAGAAACGATGCCCAGGCGAGTCGCCCTGATCAGGGAAGTGTAGGTAGGAGCAAGCAAGCAGTGAATGACAAAGAAGGGAGCCAGCCGTCAGAACGAAGCTCTCAGCCCGAGCAGATCCAGTAGTCAACCAGGAATGCCTTCGCGGATCTTTCGCGATGTGAGCTTCTTGGCAGCTTACTCGGGACATCTTGGATTTACGTTGGGGCTTTGTTGAGGGTTATGGGGGGGGCTCTCCAGGTCAATGGTAAGACAAGAGATCGGACTCAAGTATGCCCCCCCCCGTTCCGAAATCCATCTGGCCCAAGCCGTTTTGTCTCCAGCAGTTCTGGCTCGAGTGCAACCATCTCTCGAGGCGGTCCAGGGCCGTGCCGCTCCAGGATCACGGACGCCCGCCCTGGCATAACCTCCGGAGCTTCTGCCGCACAGCACCTTCGCTCACCAGCAGTTTGCCGCTGTGCCTTACACCGTGCCGCTGCGTCCTTCGCCCTTTCTCTTCGGCCTGTCGCGGCGGGGAAGTCCTCGACGCGCCGATCGCAAGAGCGCTGCACGCTCTTGAGTCTCCACCCTCGAGCGGTCCTCGCAGATCGGCCAGCAGAAGAAGCCTCGAGCCGCGCCGTGCACAGCGCCTGGACATCGACATGTCTCGACAACTGGAGCCGATCACTGGCTTTCTCTCGTCGCTCAGCCAAATGGTGTCAGAGCCCCGAATCATCAGAGGTAATTCGGGTCAGGGATAACTCGGGTTCGTTTTTCGGGAATCCAAGCCCGAGTTACCCCGGACCCGAGTTACCCCGGATGATTCGGGCGTCCAGAGCCCCGAATCATCAGGGGTAACTCGGGTCAGGGCTAATTCGGGTTCGTTTTTCGGGAATCCAAACCCGAGTTACCCCGGACCCGAGTTACCCCGGATAACTCGGGCGTCCAATGGTGATGCAGAACAGCCAGGGCGTAGTGGACCTCAGAGCCTTGGTTCAGGGCAGTACTGACAGTTGCGGGCAGCTAGCGGATGCAAAGGCCGAGACCATGCGCCAGGAGTCCTTGGCGAAACCGGATGAGTTCATGGACGCAGGCTCGGACAACCCAGCGTTGCGAGATGGAGCGCCAGCTTGCTGAACTTGCCACTGCCCAGCGACAAACCCGTGAGCGCATCGCGTCGCTGTCCTCACACTCTTCGGTCTGCATCGTCTGCTTCCGTTCCTGCCCATCGCCCCAAGACCCTTGGTGGTTCTACTTCCGACGAGAAACATCGACATGACGCGTGCAAGCTCGTGCTTCTTGGATGTCCCCGTCTTGTTTCTGTTGCCCACCCGCCGCAAGAACGCCTGTCGTCCGTGCGTTCGGGTTTTTAGCAGAGCAGCAAGGTCGCACTCCTGCTCGAGAACCCGTTGGCCGCGAGCGCGGTTTGGACAACTCCATGAAGGCAGGGGGGGCATGGTTCGAGGCCTCTTAGATGGGGTCGGAGTAGATGGGGTCGGAGGATCGCGTCGCATCGCCAAAGCATCGGCGATGCGGCTCGATGTGGAGCCCTATTTTCTCCGCGCCGGCGTCGCCAATGCATCGCCGACGTCGCCGATGAATCGCCGATGCATCGCCGATGCATCACCGATGCATCGTCGATGCATTGGTGATGCGGTGCAATCCTCCGACCCCATCTACTCGGACCCCATCTAGGAGGCCTCTAATGGTGGACGCCTGATCCGTGGCACCCCGGTGCTCCGCTCCCGCTCCGCCTGCGGCGTGACGCAGACCTGCACGCTGGGAAGCTGCTCCTCTCTCTCGGGCGGGCCCGTGCCAAGCCCGCCCACTTCCACGCTCCTGCAGGATGCGTCAGCCACGCGCAGAGGGGGGTGGGGGGAGGGGGAGGGCTTCTTAGAAGCACCCCTGCTTCTTAGAAGGCGCGGGCCTTATCTATAGATGTAAGGCCGGCGCCTTCTAAGAAACAGCCTGCTTCTAAGAAGCCCTCCCCCCTCCCCCGACCCCCTTGTGCGCGCCGCCAAATATGAAGTAGGAGGCACTGGCCCAGGTGGCTCGGCGCACAGGGCGAGGCGTGCTCGCGACCCGCCCCCCAGCGGTAAAGGATGCGATTCTTGAGGGCGGCTCGATTCAGTGCGGGTGCGACCGTGATGTGTTCATCGCCTTTGGTATTCTGGACCAGCTGGCCCCTGTACAGACGGAAGCCGCCGTCCAACTCCGCCGTCCCGTTCAGCGTTGAGGCAGACTGCACTGAGCGTCAGGTGCCTCTTCCTCCCCTTCCGATCTCTTCTGTCCTTCCTCGTTCATTTCCGTCTACGCCTGGAACGTCGATGCGCTCTTCTCACTGTGCAATGGTCTGCTTGGCGGGCCTCGGGACAATGCCCACAGTGCATCAAATGATGCAGCGTGCGTGATGCCATTGAAGCGCACGCACGGACACGAAGGTGGCATACTCGGGCGCAAACTTGACGGCGCGTCTTTTGGTTGTATTGTTTCGTTGGTTCCACTAGCGAAGGTAAAGTTGCAGCAGGTTTCTCATCGCAGGCCCTCTCCTGCTTTGACGGGGTCGAGCACGTGAACTTGGCTGCGGGGGATGCTCAAGTCAGTATTCCGTGGGCCCCACGGAAACATGGTCGCCTACAACGTTGACCTCCCGACCACGTCGGAGTTTCTCCCTCTCTCTCCCTCTCGCTCTGTCTCGTTATCTCTCTCTGTTTCTTTTCCGTTGCCATTGTGGCTTCAGTCACCATGTCCTTCGGGGTCAGCGTGGAGACCTCTGATCCGAGGACAGCGCACACTGATGCGCAGCTCCAGGGACGCGATCCCCCCTGGAGTGGAGGGTGCTTCTCAGACCTTGCAGAGTCTCAGGGCTGCGCAAGGCCTTCCCCGAGGCCCTTGCTGCAGCACCCGCGCCCTAGCCAGATTTCCCGCAGGTCGAGATGCCAGGGCTCGAGGTCGTGCCAGATGGCACGACGTTCTACCAGCAGTTCACGGCGGATGCGAGGATCGGGCAGCTCCAGCGGATGCTGGCCAAGCACGTTAAGTTTTCCCTCGTGCCCCAGGTTGCCTCTACCACCGCGCCCGTTACTGACCGCGCTGATAATCGCGACCTCGGTGGCCCACCCGACGCCGCCGAGCGCGCAGCGGGGCCCCGTCTTGGCGCGGAGGACGTCCGGCGCGTGCGCGACGGGTTCAAGGCGGCAGGGTCTGCTGCAGATGAGTTCGAGGAGCACGTGGTCGCCAGGCTCCGCGGGTTGTTCGCGGAGATCCACGAGGCCAAGCGAGGGCGGGCCGAGGCGCCTTCCCAGGCCGCCGCGGCGCGCTGAGTCCCGCCAGCCCCGCGTGGGTGGCTTGCGATTGCGACGGGGCGAGCTTCCGCGCGTCGACGCGCCGTCAGCTCGCCGCAGCCGCGCGCTCGAGACTTCAACCCCAATCAGGGGGAAAACATTCTGAAGCGACGGCTTGGGGGGACGCAGGCGTCTGCGGCGATGGCCCAATGGATTGGGTATCATAGGCGCGGGGCCGACGAGCTCCAGTCTCAGGCTGGCGCTCGTGGGTGGCAAGT